GTAATTTTCTTAAAATATTTCATATTATTAAACCAGTATTTTTTTTTGCTCAACAAAAATAGTACTATGATTATATCAGTTTTATAATAATTGATACATAATAATATGTATTAAATCAAAATTATGATTAAAATCATATTTAACTCTAAGTTATTACAAATATTACATACAAATACTTTTTTTTAAAACAATGAAGTTTTAATATATAAAGTGTGAAAAGCATTTCATTTTCTTGTAGAGCTTCACTTCGAAACCATATTAAGTTTATAATGATATTATTGAAAAACTTCCACAAGAAATCACCGAAGAAAGAGAAAGAGAGCAGAGAATTCAAATAGAACAAGAATACTAGCAAAATGAAGACCAGCTAGCAATGGAAATAGAAAGTGAACAACTTGAAGATGACAAAAGTGTTGGAAATGATGAAAGTGTAGAGATCACAAAGGTATTGAAGACAACAAAGGTGTTAGAGACGACAAAGATATTAAAGATGATGAAAGTATTGGAGACAACAAAGATGTTGGAAATGACGAAGATGTTGAAAATGATGAAGGTATTAGAGACAATGATAAAACAAGAATAGATAATCAACTTGGTGATGAAAATAACTATAATTACTGAATAGAAGACTAACAAGAAAGACAGCTCGAAGATCAATCAAAAAGTAAGATAGAAGAATCAAGCAATCAAATCTTGGTAAATATATAAGGATGGTGAAGTTAAACAATTAATTGTTTATATAACTTCACATGCATAACAAATAAACTTTATTTGTAATTAATATCAACTTTATATATATATATAAACTTTATTTGTAATTAATATCAATTTATATATATATAGGAAGGATTTGCATTACTTGAAATAGAGCCACCTTTAATTTTTAAGTTTCTTGATATTACCAACTCGATAAATAAAAAAATGAGTTTTTTTAGTAAAGAATTTAGGGATTTTATGAAGTTACTTGTAAAATGGAACTTATTGGATGCATATGGTGGTAAAATTCTTAAATTTGCAAAGAAAATATCTAATGACAATCTAGTTTTACTGATCTTAGTAAAACAAAATCATCAGTTTTTAGATCAAATAACAGTACTACATCTTTCATTTAAAAAGTGCCCATTATGACTTATAAAGAAGAAATCTAAGTAATAAAGATATA